TTTTAATTAAGAAAGGACTTGTATCGCTGAAGTTCCTCGGAAATAATTTAAACCGGAAATTAACAAACAAGCAGATACGCAACATTAATCAATTTTACTTTGTCTTTTGTGTGTGCTTACAAAAGATACGAAGGTATTTCAGTTGACCCCACCCAGGGTCTTTATACAATAAATGTGGAAGAGTTTACTTTTAGACACATTGATTGGGATTGTATGGCGACAAGTCGTAAATAAGAGAAGATTTTGTAGTGATTCAGTACAGTTTTTTTACCAACTAGTCAGAGAGCCAATTAGAGGGTGTGCAGTTTTAGATGTATTGTTAATTACCAACGAGAACAGACATGTTTCTGAAAAAGAGGAAAAGGATAACAGGGAAGATTAAACTTAATTGATATAAAGGAAAAAATAAATGACAGAAGCAATAAGTTCAAAAAGTTTAAACTGACAGATAGAATGGAACATTTACAGAGATGTAGAGAAGCTAGGTATTTGATTAAATACGAAATAAGGCAATCAAAAAGGGCTTATGAGAAACAGCTAGCTAATAACATAAAACTAACAATAAGGTGTTTTTAAGTATGCTCAAAGGGGTACTTAGGTAAAATGTTAAAATGGAATTGGGCATTTAAAGGGGCTGATTTTTAGTTATTATTCATCTAGTCCAGTCAAACGTGACCCTTGTTATTAGTGAAGTGTTTCAGGGGCCAATACTTGGGCCTTTACTTTTTCTTTTTTTACATTAATTATATTAATAGAGACATAATTTGTAAATTAGTAAATTTTGCGAATGATATTAAACTCTTGAGTATTTCTAGCTGACTGAGAGTGTTACAGAATGATTTGGTAAATAACCTTTAATTATAATATGTGCATGATAATACATTTGAGTTATCATAATTTATATCACACTTTTAATGTAAATAGGAACCCACTCAATAAAATGACTGAAAAATAGGATATCGGCGTAGTGGTGGATACCCTCAAGCCATGGAGGCAGTGCTTTATTGCTAATAGTAAAACTAATACAATTTTAGGGAGGATTTATACACATTGATTACAAGTCAAAAAAGGCATTTATCTCTTTATACAGATCGATAGTTCGATCTCTCACTTGGAATACCGTGTATAGTTTGGAGCTCCTTACCCCCCTCCCCCCAAAAAAATGGGCTTAGAGAAGGTTTACTAGGGTGACGATATGGACGGAAAGGTTATCTTTTAAGGATAGCCAAGGTCCGTTAACTTATTTTCTCTTTAAAAGGGTATGGTAGTAAATAATATTATTAAAGTTTACAAGTTTATCTTTATCCTATATCGGAAAACAAGAAGACACAAGTTTGAAATTTAGAAAATACAGGCTAGGCTCGACAGTTTTATTGTTCTAACAGGGTGGAATAAGTCGTCAGCAGTTGTAGAGGCCATCAACTCACGAGGTTTTAGGAAAATCGATAATAAAGGGTAGGTTTTCTTTAAGGGTGGGTGTGCAGGGACAGCGTTGAAAGACCAAATGCTCCTTTGTTGTTCGTATGTTATGTTATTTTGGCAGTTATCTATGTATGTGGTATTTCTGTTTTGTCAAATAACGTAGTGCAGTTCACTGGTGACGTTCATTAGAAACATCCAACCTATGTTTCCATGTACAAAGGAAGAGGAATTGTTTCTTTAGGTGATTCTTATGTTCATTTTCTCTCTACAAGCCGGTTAGCAACTTCAGGTTAACAATCCAACCAAAGCAGACTGTGTTCACAAGGTCATCTGCCGTATCCATGACTCCTCACTTGAGTAGCTCTGGCCCCAAACACGAATACTTTCAGCAAATTACTTGGTACAGTGAGGTGGTTGACAGCCGGCGGCAGCTATGAGCACAGGCTCTCTTACTGTTTAAATGTGCGTACACAGTGGTGGAGAAGGAGTAAGATTTGGCCTTTCAACTGTGTGTACTGAGACGTGACGGATTGTGTTTACCTTGCGATGTACGGAATATAGATAAGGTAAGTTTATTTGAATTATGTTTGATTTTATAAACATTAAAAATGTGCGACTTACGAGGGGAAACTAATATATTTTCTCCAAACGATTGTGAAAACAAGAAGTGTTTCACATGTTTTAATAACACGAGACGTGGGAGGGGATGTCTTACGTTGATATTCAGCCACGAAGGGGAGAAGGACATCGTTTTTTTACACTTTCGCTGTGTCATTGTAGTTTGCGACATTATGTATTGTTTAAACACATTCTCTGTTAAGTTCATGAACACTTGAGGAAGTGGTATTTACATGGTTTCGTTAAGAAGGTGACATTTCAGGGCAAAAACATCGTTAATTTCACTTTTTATAGGCTAGACTATTACCAAGATTTTCGGGTATTTACAAACTTCTGAAGTGTCACGAACATATCATATGTTAATGAAATTGTTATTGTTTTATTGTGTTATTTCGCTGCTGTTACAGTATTGCCATTTAGTTTTGTGTTACAACGTATGTCATTTGAGTTTATTATTTTGTCATTAGTCGCTTGATAACATTAAATTGTTTTACGTTAAAAACATCCTTAACTTACTACACGGCAAACGCGTAATTCATGTAAGGAACGAGAGGGACGTATCCCTTGATAACATTAACTTGTTTTACGTTAAAAACATCCTTAACTTACTACACGGCATACGCGTAATTCATGTAAGGAACGAAAGGGACGTATCACTTGATAACATTAACTTGTTTTACGTTAAAAACATCCTTAACTTACTACACGGCATACGCGTAATTCATGTAAGGAACGAGAGGGACGTATCCCTTGATAACATTAACTTGTTTTACGTTAAAAACATCCTTAACTTACTACACGGCATACGCGTAATTCATGTAAGGAACGAAAGGGACGTATCACTTGATAACATTAACTTGTTTTACGTTAAAAACATCCTTAACTTACTACACGGCATACGCGTAATTCATGTAAGGAACGAAAGGGACGTATCCCTTGATAACATTAACTTACTACACGGCATACGTGTAATTCATGTAAGGAACGAAAGGGACGTATCCCTCCTTCCCATTGTACTTGTTTTCAACGATAGGAAAATGTCCCCTTACACTGCAGCAGTACTAATATTTTTACTCCTTAGTTACTTACTTGTATAGCCACTGTAGCAGTCGTGACATTTTTTTAAATTTCGGAATAACCCTCGTGTTCCAGTTACAGAGACTGCCACCACACTTCTGGAACCACAGTTACTTCACTGCTACAGAGGTGTAGGAGGCAAATTAAAAGTGGGGGGGGGGGCAAAGTTTATGTGCGCCTTAGGACCCTTGAAGCTCTTGGGTTCTGTATTAAATTTTATACATTCTACTGTTTTTACTAAGAGTAATTTACCTAATGTTGATGCATTTTTACTGGGACAGGTTGAAAAGTGAGAGTTTCCCCCCCCCTCTTCTACTTCCTACCCCACTGATTTGGAACGCTAAGTGTGACTCGAACACGATAATTAACCTTTATCTATAAAAAATATGACAGTGTGATTTACTGTTTTAAAAATATTATATAATTGTTCATTATCATTCAGAAATAATGGTTATTTATACAACTGATCGTATATCTTCCAGGAACTACACATCTCTATTTTGACTCCTCAACCAAATTGGAATTGGCGGACATTAACAATACACATAAATGTCACTTACTGATTTATACTTTCCAATGACTAATGTTTTCTTAGTCCATCTACTACTTCAACAGGGTTTCGTACAAGAATATTTTCTGTTACTTACAGATATTGAATATTAGATAATATATTAGAGTAAGAATATAATCCTTACACTATCAGTAGCGCTTTTTTCTCTTCTTTGCTAATTAAGATTTAACTCATTTGTAAATGTTATTAATATAGGAAAAATTACAGGCTGTATATCATATGATAAGTATGGCTTAAGGAATTGGATGCTAAAACTTCTATAGAGCACATGTTCCAGAATTATTTAACGAAGCACTGGATACATGATCTAAATAGCCAGGTCAGAGATCCCTATAGCTGTTTTTAATTTTGAACTACTGACCAGAGAGAAGGCAGCTAATAAGTAGCACACGTTGCCACAAAAACTCTGTCAGTTCTTTGTAACGAATGATGAGATTAACTGTCACTCTTACAACGCACCCTAGGATCCAAGTGCGATGGTGTTCAGTAGCATCAGGGAGTGAAGTTTGGACCTTGTGATACACAGCCTGGCACTATAACCACTAGGCCAATAATGGCCCCTAAAATATTGTATCAGTTATCAAGACAAATACTGAAATAGTGGGGTGACTTGGAGTTTCCAGGAGTACTCTCTATACAAGCAACTGTGAGTTAAGTCTTGCTGACGACTCGATAACCAACATTTTGTAAATTTTTACCCTTTTTGATAATGAAAATTCTTGAAATAAACATATTGTGATATTCATTATGTGATTGTAATTTACATTTCTTTGCAGATCTCTACAGAAAGTAAATCGGATTATCGAGTTTTTTTTAATTTGGCATCTATAAATTTTATCTCTCGAAATAAAATGTTCATATGTTGGAATTTAAATATAAAGATATGTAAACTATGGTGTTTGTTCGATGAAAAAACTGTTTTTTTGGATGCTTGTATTTTTTAGCGCAAAGATATACTATGGACTACCTGCGTTCTATCCACCGTGGGGAATCGAACCCCGGATTTAGCGTTGTAGCTCCGTAAACTTGTTGCTGACGGAGGGGGGGGGATTTTCAGGTACAATTGATATTTCAAGATCTTATTAAACCAATATCCCTCTTAAAAGCTTGGTTATATAAGAACTTGAATAAAAAAAAAAGCCCTAGTACATAAGAATTTTTGTCAAATTCAAGCACTCGCAATATCTTTTATTGTACTGAACAATAATTTATTTGTAAGAAGTATAATTTTTTACTAATTTATTCCTAAAGATTATCGTGTATGTTTTTGGGCGGGAACGACACTGCAGTTAATTCAGCATTTCTCTCACGACCTACTTTGATGCAAGTTTTTCATTCTTCAAACGGTGGATTTGTCAGAGCTATAAACTAGTATTACTTTGTAATGTAATATTTTGATTAAAGTAAATGAAACTGTGTAATATTGGCGCCCTGGTGACTATTATTTTATTTTGACTGTAGAGACATACCGGTTTGAGACTTGTTAAAAATCGACCTTTGACTTCTTTATAAAGTAGGTAAGGTGGTTGAAATTTATCTTAGTTAATTATTAAGTTCAGGCTAGTACATAGAATATTTGATAGGGGGGAATGTTCTAATGTGTGAGATCAAAAGCCAATACATATTGTGCTAAGCACAATCAGCATGCCAAAGCTACGGAGATCTGAGGGCACGCCCCCCATAAAATTTGTAAAAAAAATAGGTGCTGTGAGAGTAAATCTCGAAGTAATTTCGCATGAAATACAGCTTAAACAGTTGCATGGCTGTTTACATAAAATCCACAAATATCCAATGAGAAGTCAACAAATCATCATTCTGTTGTGATACTGCATGGGGAGCTAGACTTAAATGAACATTAATATGTATGTTTTATTATAGTAAAGTACTGTTTAATACTTGATTTTAAATTGAGCTTAAAACTAAACGATAAGTTTGTGACTCTTGAAAGAGGGGGCTGAGGGAGGGAGCAAAATGAAACAACGTAATATTTTTTTAAACATTTGAAAGTTTATGCTGTTAGATTACAAGGAGGAAGTTGTACGCTGTTGTACAGTAGCATGTCATACTCTTCCCTTGTTATTGTATAGAAATAAAGTTGAATAAATAAATTTCATTGTCCCTATAGCCGTTGTAAAAACTTATGTTTCCCCATTATTAATTGTTCACTCTGTTAAGTTTTCAAAAGGCGTCGCTTTGTTCTGAGACGCAAATATTTGTTGCAAGTTTGGTAAGTTAGTGCCGGTGTTTGGATATAGTAATACGAACCTACTGAAGATCTTTATAGAATCTTGCAGTAATTTGTATTAAGATGTAAAAGTCGTAAGTGTGAGATCTCTGAGGAAACAATGTTTGGCCAAAATTAAAGTTTATTTATTTATCGGTGAAAATATGTGTAAATTGTGTATAGGTATCGGAAGCAAAATATTTTTGTGTTGGTCTGAAACTGGAAGTAAAACAAGCTTGACAGGAGTGTCCCTGTTGAAGGCAGGCGTTAATTAGGGGCTTTTAGGACTATGTTCCCCCCCCCAAATTTTTGTTGTTATTTTTTTTATAATTAGAGTGACAATTTCGACCTATTTGCCCCCCCCCAGCAGCACAGCGGTATGTCTGCGAACTTACAACGCTAGAAACCGGGTTTCGATACCCGTAGAGGGCAGATCACAGATAGCCCACTGTGTAGCTTTGTGCATAAATTCAAACAAACAAAACCGACATATCTTGATGCCAACTAACAATGAAGATTTGGGGGGGGGGGCACAAGAGAGAATAATGTGATAATAAGGAGTTTAATCATGAACTTACATGACCTTCTTCTATTTTTTACCATAATCAGAAACCTATCTAAACTTATGTGGGTAATTGTACTGAACGATGGGGTGGTTGAGTCCCTTAATCTCGTGTCTATGTTTGTTATATTCAGTGAGCATGGGATTGTACAGACTGTGTTTAATTGACTACTACATACTCTTGGCTACACGCGCTGTTATTTTAAAATTTATGTAGCCGATTTAAATTTATTTTGAGAGAATTCCCTGTTTTTAATTAATGTATTGCTCTTGTTGAGCTTGTTTTTCATAGTCCGAAGCTGTACAATTGGATATATACCGTAGAGCACCGATTCCAAAAC